TTCCCAAGCGAACAACGCTGTGTGAGTGACAAAGCATTCGCGCTCATCGCCGTTAAAAACCCAACCAATCCGCCGAACACGTCGCATAGAGCATTTTTATCGCAACTGCGCTCGGCGAAGAAACGCGTCAGAAAAGAGCGAACTCGATCGGTATTCCGCGTCGATGCCAAATTCGCAGTCTGAACGCGAAATTTGATGCGTTTTTTTCCGCTGACGGAGAAATAATCGTTGCCGTCGCGCTGTCCTGAGTAATCCACGGTGGAAGCGCACTGCACTCTTCGTCCGAAATAATTTGCCGACGCACGATTCACGCTCTTTTGCAAACACGGATTCAAGACGATGTGGAAGCCACAAGTTCCCCGGCTGACGGCGAGCTCGTTCGAGCCGCTTGGAATTCGCAGACGCGACGTTCGCGCGAGCTATTGCCAGGCGGCAGGTTGCATCGGGCTGCATTCCGCAGGCGATCGGCGAACACGCGTAATAGCTACGTTCGCGAGCGAGAAAACCGCCGCGGGAATCGTTTTCAGATCGTACGGAGTTTACTTTGCCGGTCTCGTGGCGCGACACGGCTTCTCGTAGTTGTCGTCATCGTCTTCGGCTCGCGTAATCTTTTACAACGCGTTAAATATGCACACATATAAGATGCTGTAGGCGGAGTCGCTAATAATTGTTAACGCTGGCGTAATCACGCGCGACCGATGACGACCCTGCCCTGATCGTCGCGTTTAATCGCGACGTTTAATTGCGAAAGCCATGTAACAAAGCAACTATATACGGCCCGTTTCGTGCAGTGAAAAAAATCCCTCCAAAATTATAATCATTTTCGGCCCTCAATTAGAATGTCCGATTTTCGATATGCTTTCGAACGACGAAACTTCTCGGTGTAGGCGACAAGTTCCCCGAGCGATTTAAATTTTAACTGCGATCTACGGAAGGTACGATCGCGTATAAAATTATTGACTGCACGTCGACGAGGATTACTCCTCGTCGGCCTGTGAGTCGTCGCACGCTTGGGAAGAAGAAGGGAGTAGGTGCAAATTTCATTACGCGTGCGACACTTCCGCATTGCGTCTTACTTGCGGCGAAACTTGTGCGGCGAAGTAACGGGGAAACATTTAGCATTCTGCGGTAGGGGGAAACACGTGTTCGTATGAGGAGGGCACGCGACACACGTTGTGGGAAAAGCGCCGATGCCATTAATTGCGCTTTGTGAGAGGCCGCAACAAAGCGCGAGATCGCGCGCGATTTATCGTCCAACGTGAGCCGCTGGCCTACATATAGGGTGTTACTTCCTGCACGGGAGTGTTCTCAGATGGGCCGCCGGGGAGGAAGGAAAACACTCATCGCGCGCGCGCGCGACGTCGTGCTGTTTACACGCGCGTTGACACACGCGCGCACTTGCCGCGAACAGAAGGAAGAAAGGAAGGAGGGAGGCGAGGAAAGGCGGAGAGGTGTGAAAAATACGATAGAACTTTGAGACGAAGTTCTCGCCAAGTTGGGGAAAGCTCGCACGATGCCATGTCCTCGAGTGCAATATGTTATGCATTGTGCTGCGACGAAGGACGGTGTAGTTACTCCGAAGTTACTCCGACGACTTCGTCGCGGTTGTACAGGAAACCGAGCGAGGAAAGGACGACGAGTTTGTTCCGTGCCCCGCGTTTCATACGATGTTCGACGGGAACGCGATAGAAACGCAGAACTTACTGTGAATTTTCCCGTGATTGAACTCGGCGGCGATCGATCGGCCGAGCGCGCGCACAAAGTTAAATTCCGAATGGAAATTCTAGTTCCGCATTAAATGTTATAGTTTAATTCTACATGGAGTCTTCAAAGGTCCTCCTATCATGCTCCTTTGATGCTACAAATTAGTAGGAAGTTATTGCCGTTTTCTCCACTTGAAGACTCAAAGTAGAATTTGAAATTTCGATCTCACGGGATGCTGATCGACGCGACTCGATCTCGCGTCGATTTGCGAAGTCACATCGATCCTTTGTCATGGATGAGACCTTATTAGTGAATCTAAGAGATTTCAGCTTTTGACGCGTCGCCCGAGAGAAGGAAGAAGATTAGATAGACGCGCGATATTATTCATTCGATTTTATCGATCGTTGAATAGAAGCCGATCGGACGTGTGTTCAATGCCGTCGCGATTTCAACGCTATTATACGTAACACATTCGCGGGGTTCATTGAGTATCGGCGCACACACACACATACATATGCGCGCGTATTCTCGCTTCGGATTGCTCATAAATAATACGGATGTGCAATAACTATGACAAATTAATGTCGCACTGCGGTCGCATTTTATTACCATTGTGTAACATCATTAATTTCTAAATTAAATAGCGCGATTCTTGATGCGCGCGTTGATGCATTGTTTTGTCATGCGGTAGTCTGTTATGTAACGCACACGCTAACCACGCGTAACGTACAATAATAATAATAATTGTATTCTACGGACGTTAATAATATACATCACTAACGGACGCGTCGTGAGTGCTTTCCATTGCTCGTCCGACCGAAACAGGAGTGCAAGGGAAAGAGAGTCCAGGTCAGCTTTCGGAGTATCTAAAAAAAGATTACACGATTATACCGTTACCGACGTCAGATAGTTTTCGGGAACTCTCCTCTCCGGTAGCATACGCAAGCCGTGCGTGTGTAAAGCTGTCGGTGGATGCCTTACGAAGTCGATCGATTCCCGAGACACCCTATACGCCGCCCATATGTCACCCCCCCCCCCCCCCCNCCCCCCCCCCCTCCTCCAGCACATAACCTTTGCACGTATCCGTGCTCATAGCGCGTATTAATTAGCGAAAGGGGCAATTGCAGCCGGACACGAGGTTACACAGGCACGCGGGTGCCATAATGGCTAATTACCTGCCTGGCGAGAGAGAAAGAGAGAAACGCATTTTTGTTTTCGATTCGCGAGCGAAGACACGTGCTCGCGAATCACGCGTCGTAACCGAACAATTTGCCGAACGAGCGAGCGAACGAACGAGAAAGCGATCGGCCGGCCGGCTCGGTCAAAGCGTCCTACGTACGAGCCACTCTTGCTCAGTACGTTCACGCATTCTTAACACCACATCGCTTTACCTGCGTGCGAGCACGCGAACAACGTAAGCCTCACATCCCAGGCACAGGTACACGCGCAATGTGCGCGCTCACGTGCCTGCGCGCGCGACACGCACACAGAGGTAGACAGTTACTTTCCCGGTGCCCTCGTGTTGTTCCGGGCGGCAGGGAGGTGGGAAGGAAAGGTTCCGGGCGTGGTGTAGAGGCAGGAGAATCCTGATCTCCCGACGATGTCGTGTCGTTTTGCTCTATGGGCTCGTGCGCGCCGCGCGGCCTTCTCTGAAGGCCTCAAGGACGGCGAAACGCATCGCCGGCCGAATGCCGAAGGGGAGAATCCGGCAAGGCCGACCGGCGACGTATTCTATTTCTTCCACTCGGATTTTTTCGATCGCGCCCATATACAGGCGCGCGCGCGCGCTCGGACGAAAATAATTGGACGCCGATGCGACCGACGAACGGCTACGCGCGTGTATCGCGCGTGCACTCGAAACGGCGATCCGTAAACATTACGAACAATCGTCGGTGTGTGTAAAGGAGGACGAGATAATAACGACCCCGGCGTTCTCGTTTTTAGCGGATAAACGAACGAGTTTTTTGATACTTCAATTCTTTCGCATTTCCGTACTGTGTTCCGATCTATCCGTTAACCGCCGTCTAATAGCCTTTTAAACTGTTATACCCGTTTGTTGATCAAGGAAAATCAAGGTTTAAACCGGGATTTTCTTGAAACATTCTTCTGTCAGGCGACTGCAATTTCCACTTTTGCACATAGCTATATTGGTAAAATATATATTACACAATATTACATAGAGAAAAAGGTTTCTTTGGATTTAGTATACGTGTTTGTTTGACTTCGGTTTATTTAATATATAAACAATATAATTTAACGACAAATATCATTTTGTTTGATGAAAATGAAAATTTTGTTTCACTAGAGTAAACCATGTTGTTCGATAGAAGAAACAGTATTACTTAAGAACTAACGTTTAGTTTTCATTAAAAGAAAATTGATTTCATTATACATTAAATTTTGTCCCACACTAAAACAAACAGAAGTTCTTTAATATTTTTCTAACATAGTGTTACATCTGTCAAATGATTTATTACTTGTGCTAAACATTGTAATAATTTGGACGGGGATATAAAAGAAATATGTTGACGCAAAGATATTTGTTGTTTAGAAAATCAAATAATTCTGTTTGTTTAAACATTCGTTTGTTTGCTCCACTCTAAAAGACAAATTCGTTTCAACCAAAGAAGTTTTATTAATTTCGAAGAAACATTTTTCTCTCTGTATTACAAAATCGTTCTAACGCGTTTTATTTTCTTCCTCGAAAAGATAAGGCTACAAAAATAAACATTACATTAAAGTTACGGCCTTGCAACACGAGTATAACCGTCCCTCAGTCGGATGTTCTAAAAAAATCACTTGAAAAATTATGTTCCGGTTTGAGAGTTAATTCTCGTTGATCGAGGGCGTTTCTTGCGATGACTCATTTATTAAAGTGTTATCGGTGTTTGCCGTCATCGACGATATTTGAGTATAGTATCCCCAGCGTTTATATCGCGGTTAGTCCGCGATCCGAACAAATTCCCAGCGCATCCAGACGCCCTCGATCATTGCGCAGCTCCGAGCCTTTTCCTCCTCCTCCTCCTCCTTATCCTGCTCTTCCTTTTCCTCTTTTCGATCGCACGCTTCTTCCTACCTTTGTTCTTTTATTTCACGTCGACACGGTTCATTTCGCATTGGTGCTAGAGAGAGAGAGAGAGAAAGAGAGACGGCTAATGTTGGATCGACCAATAAACTTTCACAATGTTCTCTTTTTCAGAGGGTCGCTTATTCCTCCTAGATATAACTTGATAGATTAGCATTTTTATGAGCATCCATTGCGTCGCATTATCATTATCGTTCTGTCTTTGTTGTAGACCTTGGACTTCGATAGGGATGGTCTGACGAAGCTGAAGAAGGCCATCAAAGCCATCCACAATTCCGGAAACGGTGAGTCGAATTATACTTTTAAATTTTCATCAAGTTGCGTCCTCGTTTCCGCGATCACGAGGGTAATCAAATCGATGTGTCGATCTCACGTGCTCGATAATTTTTCGCTTAAAAAGAGAGAGACTCGACGCGAATGAAAAGAAAGAAAAAGTAGAGGGAAGTATCATGATATTGCGCTGACGAAACGAAACTGTGAAGTCACATCGACATGGTGTATACACAATACGTGCGGGGAGCGTTCGGTCTGGATTTTTATCGCGTATACGAATGGAGAAGTCGTGTCGGGGTCAACATCCTGAAAGTCCATAGACCGACTCGCGGACTGAGAAACCCTGAGCCGCGGCTGACTTTTACGTCGAGTTCGCTGGCTTTCCGCCACTTCTCCATCAAGGCAGACAGATCGATTTCTCTGGCGCCCCTTTGTTTCCTCGGCCATCCGGGTGAGAGAGGGAGGGAGAAAGAGAGAGAGAGACTCGGGGGGCTTATATTCCGAATAACTTGCATTCTGGAGTCTGCGATCGGCATCTTTACGATCGCGGTTACACCTCCGCGCCCATCATTCTATAAACGAGCCGGCCGATCGATAACGCGTCAACGCCGACAACGTGGATCGTCGCTGGATACACGGCTAGGAACGTCGCGGTTATCAGAAAACGTCATTTATTCATGCGACGAGTGCGACGTGCTCGGTGTATGACATCATCAGCCGTTGAAATATTCACGTCGAAGTGAAATGTTTATTTCAAAATGTAATGAGTAAACATGCGAGACCGCATTAAAATCGCATAAGTTAAATTATATACCGTCGCGAGACGACTACGACGGTGTGGTCTTCGTTGCAAGCGGCGTTAAGGAGGTTGTAAAACGAAATGAGTTTGATAACGACTCGATGAAACATGCACTAAGTATATATTGGGATATTATTTAACTGCTCCTGCAGGAAGAGATTGAACATTCGAGAGCTGAGATATTTGCAACTAAAGTTGACTAAACTAAAACTAAAATACTTTTTATACGTGTTCCTTGAGAGAGATTAGTGTGCTGTTTTTTAATTTCTATTTTTGATATCTTTTAAACTATAAAAATAAGATTTTGATGGAGAACTACTATGATATTAACACGTCGAGTGTTGTGTCAGTTTCACATGACTTTCCATTCACGCCACGTGAGCCATCGATGATTCACGTTGCCGCATTTATTATAAGATTATATCTTACAATATTTATAAGACTACAAAAATCATTTTATATATGAAGAGGAAGAAGTAACGGAAAATATATGCGCTAGGCGGCCTGAACGGAAAATCCAATGTGGGCCACCGATGTTCTAGCGACAGACATTAGTATATTGAACCTTGAACTTCGAACCTTGAACCTGTCGCTAGATACAACAGCTGTCATATGCTATAGGTATAATATAGGTACAATATAGATTAAGCCACTCTAAACAAAAAAGTCTTATACCATTTTGCAAATAATACGCAAATTTTTGAGTTATTAATTAAAGAAACCTCTATACACGGCCATTTTCAATAACTCATATTAAGCGGTATTTATAATAAGTGCAGTGAGCTGTAAGAATTTAATCAATTATAGTCGAATGTGAGAACAATAATCGACTATGATTGGTCAGTTTCTTACGGATTAGGGCTCACTACACCTATTGTAGACACCGCTCCATTTTTTACTCGCGTAAAGATTCTTTAACATCCTTTTTCTGCTTATTAGAGCCTAACAAATGCCGAGGCGCGTCAAAATGCGCCTCGCAAGCTTTATGCAACTCCGCTCGTGCAACATCGAAGTTACGTGAGAGACCTTATCGCCGATCCCCCCGCGCATTATCACTTATCGCACCACGCGCCGCATCTTCCACCTGTGTGCGCGCGCGCGTGCATTATATAAATTTATTTGCGTTTATTTATGTAGAAAAAGTTTCCCCGTTACGCGAGGGGTTATCGCCGAACAATCTCGCGCAGTCTCATCGCGACGGAATAAATAGCCAACGTGTTGCATAAGCGCGCGGAATTTCCCATCTTATCTCTCTAAGTGCTGCGCACTTCGCGCCGCGCGATTTTCGGCGGAACCGTCGTCACGCCGTCGTCAATCACACACGTCGAAAGTGACGTGTGAATAGCCGCGGATCCTCCGACTTATTCAGTGGCGTGAATAAAGAGAGCAGCGCGCGTGCCGCGAGACTAATGAGAGATTAAAGCAGCGTTTCCCTTCTTCGCCAGGTCGATAACGCTCGCGTTATTCCGCGCGCGAAAGTTGCGTGCTCTCGGGGCCGCTCCTTCGCTTTCCACGACGAGGTCTCCTCCGCGTTTCTCGCACAGATATACCCCTGATTCTTTTTTTCTTTTTTTTTTTACCTTACGCGAAAATTCCTTCCCTCAAGAAGTTTGAATCGCCCGTTAGTCCTCACGATTCCCGCGCACCTGCCGCACCCGAAGGCTTCCCTCCCCGGAAACGAATCGCTCGGAGGGTACACGCGATCCGAAACGCGCCTGTGTCCGGCACTTTGTGTCGCCGATCTGTCGTGACGCTCAACGAGAAAGTAGCCGCGCTAGGAATTACCTCGTCAGGTCACGAAGCGTCGTCGAGGACCTTACAACCGTGCGGTAAGATCCTGCCGTAATTGTTGGGAGCCGCGCGGAACGAGCCGTAATTATATCGCGTAATAAGATGACTCGTGGGAGCCTGGCATTATGAAATTGTTTTTTGATGAGAGCTTTTATCTCCGTCTTACTCTTTAAATGGGACGCTGCGTGTGCATCTCACATGCTCGGGCTCTTTCGGTACCGACGACGATGGGTTTCGTTGTCGTTTTCGCGAGTCGCACCGCTTGCCCGCCCGGTCGATCATACAGCTGTTTTTCATGGTCCCGCGCGAGAGGCGATTTCCCCGATCGTTTGTCCCGCCCGTCAATCGACCCCGTGGAAATCGCAGCTGTCGCCCGTATCGGAGACCGGTCAGCATTATTTCCGCGTCGGGTCACAATGGACCACTTTTCTCCCGATACCGCTCCGACGTGTCCGCCCTGTCTTCCCTCCTGCGGTGGTCCTTCCACTATTCACCTGTTACCTGTACTCATTTTCTTCCCCTCTCTTTCTCTCTCTCTCCCTTTCGTATTTGAAACCACTACCTGACGATAGACAGGATGTATCGCTCCGAGTAGCCGGACGCAAATCGCGTGCCGTGACGCGCGTATTCCCCAGGAGACAATGGGCCCGCGGGAGCACTCGCTGGCTTCGATACTCTCGAAACTTTCCAGCGGAAGCGTTCCGCTGACAACGAACGGAGAGCACGTCGGAATTTAGCTATATCATTTTTATTTCTCGAGATGATGATAAAAAAACAAGAAAGAAAGAAAATAAGAGGCAAAAGATTATCCCGGTTACTCATAGCAATTGTGTCGCACGGTATACATCACTCCGTTATTATCGTCTACTGAATCAACTCAAGGTTGGCCAACGTAGAATGTAGTTAGTCATTAAAAGGTTATAATCCTTTTTTGATAAATTAACATGTGTCTAATAAATATTTGTTTTCTTAGTAATTCTCAGAAGAGACATTTTCCTATTGGACACGAGATACGTTGCGAAATTCATCGAGAAATAATTGGGGTGTATTTAAAATTGTACTCACACACAGAAAAATACATACTACATCCAAGTATTGTTTCAAATATTTCAAAAGTTTATATATCCGTAAGTACATCACAAGTTCATCATAATTACTAAAAATTTATTCAAAACATATTCTAAATCATAGTAAATTCAGTATTTTAACTAAAAATATTAAGTTAAAATACTGAAACTAAAACTTCGGTTCACTTATTCAAACTAACCGTATTTAACTTTTCTTCGATAAAGTTTATCATATTTTTGAAAAGAGACCAAATTCTATTTTTAGATAAATGACAATGATATTTTAAATGATATTTTTTTCTAATATTTATAATGAGTATATCTTAACACTGTTATATATCAAGAAAATATTTTTTGTCCAAGAAAACCATTATCCAAAAGAAGAAAGGTAAACTGAGCTGTTCTTCGCGGTGCAACAATGTTTCTCTGTGCACGCATTCACCGCTCTTGTTGCTTTTTTTTTCTTTTATTATTATTGTTCTCTTATCTTTGCGCTTGAGAGGAGTCGCTCCCGGAGTGCTTAATAAAATTATCTATCTATCTATCTGACTCTCTCTTTCTCCGGGAGCGCTCGACGCTCGCCTCGTGAAAGATGCAATTCCAGATATCTCTCCTTGGCAATGGCCAGGGAGGAGCTGCGCCGGCCGTAGGCCGGTCTGAAAAATTCAGTGGCAATGCATTAGCGTTTCCGACGGAGCGTAGTGTTACATGCAGCGTTAGGTATGTACCCACCTAGGCGTGTGAAGCTTCCGAGAGAGCTTCCGCGTAATTTTCCGCGGTCGAAGGAAAGAGGAGCAGGAGGACGACGACGCGCCGGCAGCAATGGGGTGCAAAGACCGATAAATCTCGCGTCGGAGACGAGAATGGTGGAAATGGTAACGAGCGCGCGCTCGAATACCGTCGTTCGCGTCGCCGAGACGTTTGCATCCTATTCTGATAAATTCACTCGGCCACGATACCTCTCGCGAGCCCTGAAAGGCGAAGACTCACCGGGGAAGGGAGACACAGAGAGGATGTCGGTCCATCCGCCTCCCCTTTGTGAGTTCGCTTTCACTCCTCGGCGTTTTAGCGAGCAGACGCACGCAGCGCGCGGTATCCAACGGTCTGTAAACGACGCGAACGTCTCGCTGTTGCGGAATTTCAAAAGAGCCCCTTCTCTCTCTCTCTCTCTCTCTTTTTCTTTCTCTCTCATTCACGCCGGCCCCCGTCGTTTTCACCGTGACGCGGCGGCGCGCGTCTATCGGCGTAATGTAATTGAAAGTTTCATTAACCGTCGGGGTGAGCGAGAGAGTTCGCCGTCGCCGGTTTATCCGCTCAGCCGGACTGCGATTGTAGTCGTTGTTACGCCACCGCCTGCGAGAATCGAATACCACTTCGCGACACGGGAACAATACTCCTTTTACCTCGCTCCCCCTCCCCCCTCTGCGCCTTTTCCTGTCTCTCGCTTGCCGCGACGTCCGGTGTGTATCCTGTCACGGAAAAGTTTACCTCGGCTAATGAAATTTCTCCTCGCGGAGGAAGCACGTGTTGCCTCTTCCAGTCGAGTGATAAACGCGTCGACGTTGTTCAAAGTCAATCAGATCGCAGTCTCTCCTCTTTCGAAGCGCAGTCGATATTGAATGAAAAGAGAGTCTCCGGGCGAGTTCCAGGAAAGGAGATTGAAGTGTCGGGGACGCCAGAGAGATATCCTCGTCGAAAGAGAGAAGTCACGCACATGAGGCGTTTTTATTTCCATTTGTCGTACACGCGGAAAAATGTCAGTTGGTGTGACGGAACGGAGGGGGGCAGATGAGAAAACTGGTGACGAGAATCGATATCTCTGTTATCGCGAGCGGGGACATCTGTCTGAGGACAATAACCGTGAAAACCCGGTCTCGAGATAACGGTGGAAGCAACAATTAGTTGAATGGAAATCTCTTGCAAGGAATTTTTCCGCTTCTACATCGAGAGAGGTTCCATTTAAATTATAGTCATTTTCGGCCTCGACCGTATCTTCTTCAGGTTTTAACCGAAAGAACTGTAGTAGCAACATAGACGCAGTCAGGGTGGAGCAAGGTTGGGCGCTTGCCTCCTTCCCCAAATTTTGTGGCAGGGAGAAGCAATTAAATTATAAAAATCATGATAATGAAAAATGTAATGATATATTACAATTTATATTCCACAAGATAGCTACAATACATGTTCTGTAATTAAAAACCAATGATAAAATATCAGTAGTGCTTTACGAAAAAATGAAAGCTTCTCAATTTCACCAACAGACCTGCATTGTCTGCAATGATTTTGGCGTATTTCAGCTACGTAGGAGGATTTTTTCTAAATAAATATCCTGGTAGAAATTTAAAACGAAGGCTGGGAAGGCCCTGTACAATTTTTCCTCAATTTTTATTTAGATCCTACACAGAAATGTAACGCTGGTACAATTTAGAGCCATTTTGTAAATCTGTCTAACTAGGCCCTGACCGGTTCTTATGAGTCACAGGCCTTGTTAGGGGCATTTACGTCCATATAACTTATTCAAGGCCTGTTCACGAAATTCCATTCAGGATTTGCCTTTCTAGGCCGTATCTAGGCCCAACGAAGACAGGCCTATTTTGGGACATGTCTATCTAGGGCCATTACAGACTCGGACACGCCCCGATTAATCTTTACAGGTAATAATCTGTGCGAGATAAATTTTTGCCTCCCTTCCGAACGAGGAATCCTGACTACGTCCGTGAATACTATTATCACCAACGCTATACTAACACTTGCCGGAAAAATGGTTCTCGTGACTATAACTCTCTTCGCTTACGTGATCACAGATCTACAAGTCTCAAAACTTTTTCTCACTATATATCCGCGAGTTCTCTTCTGATCCCCCGGACAGCGGGAAATCAATTCTCCGAACCGAGTTTTCTTTTCCGCGCGGAAGTCACATGCTCTCAGTCATGCATGTTACGTACGAGAGAGAAGGGGACCGATATCATTGGTGAGAAACTCCGCGGGAAATCGACGGAAAAGGCAAGAAATGTGCAGCCATCGGGAAAGAAGGAGCGCCGTCGAGGAGGGGGGGGATTATCGGGGAATATATTGGAAAGCGGTAGATGGGCTCCCTCGCGCCGTCGAGATTGCGGCCGCGATTCGGGAAGCGGAAGGAGTGCGAGAGGGTGACGGTGGCTGGAGGAAGAAAAGCCTTCTCGGTAACAGAGTGCAAAACGAGGGGGGGATAGAGTGAGAAAGCGAACGAGCGAGAGAGAGAGAAGCGTTTATCGCGCGTGCATTCCGCGCAAAGCGCAGCCTTGCAAGGCTGCCAAGTAATTCGAAGTACAAGCGCGGAATGCGGGAATGCGCGCAGTATGTAATGCCTCACGGTAGGCGAGGGTTAAATTACGAGTATATACCCCTCTTCCTATTTCTCCCTCTCGCTCTCGCTTCCTCTCGTCTCTCCTCGCATTCACGGAGGGAAAGAGATACAACGTTTCTTCGCGGCGTGTAAGCGGGCCCGCGAGCGATGTGGACTCCCGGCTGCATGATGCACGTAGCTGCTGCACACGCGGTAAAAGTGCAAGCTGGCCGGGAATTAACTGCGATTTGCGAACATCTAATAGTCCGACGCGCGCACGCGCATTTAATGGCAGCCGCTCTCGCGAATGTTTGCCGCTGTATTAATATTCGCGTGATATATCCCGCGCGGGGGAAGTTTACGGGCCGCGCACGCGCGATTTCGCGCTGAGCTCGCGTGCTCGCGAATTATCGCGGCGGAGAAAGGGCGATTCGTCCGCGTGGGAACTCGCACGGAAACGACGAATGAAAAACTCTCGTTAGGTTTATAGAATATAAACTCCGGTTGCGGGTAGCTTTTCACCGGGGAGATTAATCAACGAGACATGTATGTGTGTGTATATGTTTACCTGTTCGCAGCTCACGTTGACAATGAGGTGTACCTGGGCAGGGCGTTGGAGAGACTCGGCGATGCCGCCCTGAAGGAACAGGAGCCGGACATCGGCGCGGCTTTCCTCAAATTCGCGGTCGTCACGAAGGAACTGAGCGCCCTCATGAAAACTCTGGTACGTGCAGACGCTTTTCCTCATGTGTGAAATTTCGCATCGACACGTTCCGCGTTGCCGACGGCGATTCACCAACTGACAGGAATATACCGATGCATATGTGTGCACATTCAGATACGTTCAGTTTTTCTTTTTCACATTCAAATATCGCCGGCAGATAGCGACGAACATCGCTGTGAATAAATATTCGCCACAGAATTCTGTAACAAGAAAAACCGGGGAAAATCTCTTGTCTCTCGTATTGGAAGTGTTATATTCACGCCACTGTAATATTGAATTAAATAACAAATTCAGATGAAATTGAATTAAAATTAAATAATTTTCTACTAACTTGAACAAATTCGTCCTTGGAAAATTCGCACGTTAACACGTCATATGATGCAACTTATTCGTAGGGCGAATCGACCCGGCAAATTGATTTAACGAATGGCACATTGATCAAACGAATTGCACGCGACAAATTGAATATACGGCCAGCAATATACGCGCCAATGAAAAGCGTTACCAAGTACACGCGAGTCGCGAATCACGTTTATTCATCGTACCTTTGGATATCGAAACTTCAATGGAGCCCTGAAAAACGACTAATGGGAGAATCAACGCGACGGTCAACGGTTGTACCACCTCTGCGTGCACGTCGTGTCGCGAAATGCTGCGCGCGAGACGCGGCAAGGCGCGTCGATCCCGATCGTTGACGTGTGCCTTGAGTTCCGCAATTCGTCGACCGCTACGCGAATAGCGGATATTAAAACGACGCGCCCCCGATGCGGTGCACGCGTTATTGGAAAATCTCTTCACGGTCCATCGTCGTCGGTGGCAACGACCCGCGTTGCCGCCGCCGCGCGCTACGCACCTTTTCTCGCGCGCGCGTTAGTATAGGTGCAAAAATAGAATGTCAAACCTTTCCCCTTCCCCCTCCTGCGATCAATATGAAAAGCGCGCGCCGTGCGCTGGCGTGCGCGACCAAGTAAAATTTCGCGCCCGCGGGCTGTGCTGTCGTCGAAGATTGCCGGTCGCGCGATTCAACCCTACTTTCGCGATCGAGCGACGACCGATGCCGTGTTACGTGTGTGTGTGTGCGCGCGCGCGCTCTCCAAGCGGCCGCGTTTCCTCCTCGGCGAGGCGCACGTGGCGGCGCGGATGAATCCCAAGCCGCGGAAATAATTAAAATAATTGAAAGATAAAAATTGAATAATTCCGAAGAGAGGAAGAGAAAGAGAGAGATCGTGCTTTCAACTGCAATCGGCGAGGTCATTCGGCGGAATCCAAGAATTCTCTCTCTCCGAACTCGACGATTTCATTTTCTAATCACAGTGAAATGCCGGTTAATTAATGCAGCTTAATGTAGCGTACGTAGCGCGCGAGATCGTGAAGAGAACGAAGAAGAGAGGAAAGAAACGGAATTAAACGCTCCCGAGAACATTTGCTAAGCTCCGCGCTCTCTGTGCGCTGGCTGGCTATGCGCGGCACAAATCGGGACGTCTCACGGCGGGGTAATTACGTTTACTGAAGCGTGCACGGACGTTGTAAGCCGCTGCTGCGCGCACGCGTAAGAAGGCTCTCCTAGATTCTATCACGCACGAGCAACTGCGAATTTATTTATCGTGGGAGGAGAGGCGGGAGAGTTAGGGGCACTCTAAACGTCGTGCCACTCGCGGTTGCGATTTCAACGCGGCCTCCGGACTTCACCGATGTATCGGGGACGATCGCGGGTTGAATCTAAATTCCGGCTCTTAAAGCGATTTTTCCCTTCCCATTTCCTCGTCGTGGTCGTCGTCGTCGATCGTTTCTCCCCGGGTTAAGTTCCGAACCCACAGTGGTCTGAAAGTAAAAATGTTCCACCGGAACTTTGAACTTTGATCAGAGTAATTTTTATATAGAGAAAATGTTGTGTCTTTAAAGGAGAAAAGTAATCATTTGCAAGTAACCATTTGATGCAATATTTATCTCGATTTTTTTTTAGATAAATACAAAATAACTCCATTTTTTTATGAATAGACTCTTTTCTAATAAATGATATGTTATTTCTTCTTTTACGATATTCTTAAATATCTATCTGAATAGGAAAGGAATTTAAGTCATTTCGGTAAAGAATTTTGTATCATTTAGTTGGAACGGCATATGACACCGAGCTGCACGCTTAAAAGAAAAACATTTCTCGCTATCAGTTGATATCCATCGTTGCTAAGAGATCTTGAGAAGTAATACAGTATTTTTCTTTATACAGAATCCGGGCTTACCGCTTCCTGTGCGCTCGTTAGCTTGCACAAACTAATTAATTCCTTCATAATTATTGCGAATTTTTGCAAAATGGTACACGACTTTCCTGTTCAGTTTTATCCGTTCTATTTGCACACCACGGATGCCGAGGAAATTATCGGGTGTCTTGTACATAATTCTACCATCCACTATTTAAGATAATGTAATATATAGCACAATTTTCTGACAGATGTGACTAAAAACTTACCTCTGAGTATAAATATTTTTAGCATCATATTTACTGATGTATAGCATCATATTTACTGATGTATAGTAAAAAATAAGAAATGATAGCAATTTATGATTATTTGTCTACAATAAAAGTGCGTTTGTATCAACCTGAAGTGAAATCTGAAGAAATGACTTTCGGTCCAGTAGTATCAATCTCAGACCACCGTGGAGTCGTCGTTGCGCGCCCGCTCGCCTCAACTCGTGCCGTGTGACGTCATACGTGCAACTGGTTAAAATATATCTGCATTGGATTATTGGCTTCGACTCAACCGGCGATACTACATCCAGCGCGCACAGAGGCGGAAGTAATATCATTCGAGATGCTCGAGATGGCTGTACACCTCGATCGCATCGTCGTCGGTTAGATTATCGAATACCGTTTTCGATAAGAGTGATTAATTCCGCGACCGGCGATGGTGGTTTTTCCTTTTTTCGCATATGCACGCGATATCGAGCCCTCGTTAGCGAGACTATGTCGAGGAGGCGACGTCTCTTCGTTGCGGTGTGCCATTTTTGCGCGCGCGCGTCGTGCACTTCTCTTTCGCTTCGGGAACGAAAGTGTCGTCTTTATGAGCTGCTTGCACACCGGCTGCTGCTCCATTATCCGAGGCGGCTTCCGAGCGCTTTCCAGCCAAGTTTTCACGGAGGAGGAGCGGCGGCAATCGCGAGGCGTTCGAGGGATCGTTCTCGAGAGAGCAAGAGAGAGAGAGAGAGAAAGAGGAAAGGAGAGGCGGACAGAGAGAAGCTGCGAGAGGAAGCACTGCATTCTATTCAGGGCAAGCGAAGCGACGGACTAAGCGAAATGCTGACACGAATTAACGATGATTCACTATTCACCGGCCGGAAGTGCCACCGGCCGGCGGTGGTCGATTTGCGTCCTGGAATGCCCGAGAGCAGCCTCGTTTCTTTCATCTATTTTCTGCCGGCCGTGTCTCTTAGTTTCTTTTTCGCGTTTCGGTCGAGCCCGTTTGAAGACCACAAACCCGTTCGATTCGCTAATATCGCGAAGATGCCGTCTCTCTCTCTCTCTCTCTCTCTCTCTCTCACAAATTCATCCCCTTTAAAGTCTCTCGTAATTTACATTCAGCCGGCGCCTCCCGCGGCGTTCGCTAAAAACGAGGTCAGCGAATTCTCATCGACGATCGATCCTGTTCTTCCAGATGCAAAACATCAATAACATCGTGATGTTCCCGTTGGATTCGGTGCTGAAGGGCGACCTGAGGGGCGTGAAGGGCGACCTGAAGAGGCCCTTCGAAAAGGCGTGGAAGGACTACGAGGCCAAATACGCGAAAATTGAGAAAGAGAAGAAGCAGCACGCGAAGGAGGCCGGTCTGATTCGTACAGAGGTCACGCCCGCCGAGATCGCCGACGAGATGGAGAAGGAGAGACGGTTGTTTCAGTTGCAAATGTGCGAGGTAGGTAATAGCGGATTCGAGCACGTACAAATGGCGTGTAACGCTTCTGCCCCCCGCGACAGCGAGAAAGAGAGAGAGAGAGAGACGCGTGTATTATCGATGAGACGCGTGCACCGATATCCGGTTGTACACAGATACCGGTGTCGGCGGAAAAATGTGCCTTCCAACTCGAGAGAACTTCATTTACATTTTATACTGCGGACGAGACGCAGGCTTGTAGCGGCTTACATTTTGCATCCGATCGTCTGCACAGGGTGTCTCAGACAGACAGACAGAGAAAAAGAGAGAGAGAGGGAGGAAGGGGGAGAGAGGAAAAAAGAAAGAATTGAGGACTAAATATAGTAAACGAGATAAAAATGCCAAAAATTCTAATTTCCATTTTTTTTCGCTTAACGGTAGCATGCGCCACTCTTTCATGGAAAAAAGGAATTAGCTATTTATATAATACGACTGAAATTTCGTTACCAAATCTAGTTTTTAGCTATGGGAGCTAAAAACTAGATACAAAAGAATTAGCTAAATCAACTAAATTTCAGTTGTATTATATGGACGGCTAATTTTTACCCGTGGAAGCTAGATTTTAATTATGGGAGCTAATTTTTGTTTTCCCTGTTGTAATTTGGTAAACGTGAGATGTATTAGAAAAATTCGGTTCACGTACAATTCGTAACGTAAGGTGTCGCTAATAATGCATCCACGGAGTGACCTGGAGAATGCTGGAATCCCATAAATTTTGTATTTGGCCCATTTTCATCGTTTACCATATTCAGTCCTCAATCGTCGTCTGTGCTTTAATCAAGATTGCAGGAAAGCCTATTTGACTTCAATCAGCGATGATACACACAATATTCTTCATACGGAAATATCCGTGATAGATACAGAAGTAACGAGTACTGATAATTGTGGGACACCCTGTATTTGTGGATCGCGTTTACGATAACTCGGTAGAAACGTGTTTGAGTGAGTCTGCATCGAGGGGTAGAGAACTGCCGATCATTTGCTGTCTGTGTTTGCTTGCAGTATCTGATCAAAGTGAACGAGATCAAAACGAAGAAGGGTATCGAATTGTTGCAGCATCTAGTCGAATATTACCATGCGCAAACCAAGTGAGTAGTCGTACGTTTAACCGTCTCCGTGTGGTGATTTTCCAAAATTTCTGCAAAATCACACGCATCATTGGTGATCGGTATCGCAACACTTTTCGAGATACAAGCGTTAACATGTTCGTTCGGGCGATGAGCGGTTTGAATACAATCGCTGCGGCCAATTGAGATTTCTAGCACTTACGTCCGGCGGCATGTAGTTATTTTCAGGACGGCTTGAAGACGATCGAGCACTTCGGCTCGTACGTGGCCGACCTCAGCGTGAAGTTGCAAAAGATCAGGCAGACGCAGGACGAGGAGAGAAGACGGCTAACGGAACTTAGGAGCCTCCTCAGGAGCTCCGGATGTGACAAAGAGGTACCGTCGAGAGATGGATCCTTTTTCAGTCTAATAGTTTGCTCTCGTTTTGCTTGTCCTTTTAATCGATATTGTTATTTTTTTTCACTTTTATTGATATCAAGAATATATACTAACATTTTTTCTCGGGAATTATCAACGATTCAGAATTATTTTATATATATTTTTACAATAAGTAAAAATATGTTTTACTCCTTAGTATGTAAGCTGAAGTAAATAAAGTATGTACATATATATATATATTTTTTTTTATTTATTTGTAAATAATAACTTTGTTATTAAATTCTATATTATATATACACTGAGATTTTGAACGATGCTTACGCAATTCACAGTTGAATGCGAACGCGAACGCGGGCTACTCGTTGCATCAGCTGCAGGGGGACAAGCAGCACGGCGTCACGCGCTCCGGCCACCTGCTGAAGAAGAGCGAAGGCAAGATGAGGAGAGTCTGGCAGAAAAGACGATGCGCCGTGCAGGCGGAGGGTTACCTCGATATTTGCCACGCCGACGAGAACAAGCCGCCCACTCGGGTGAACCTATTGACCTGCCAGATCAAGTTAGTGCCGGACGACAAGCGAGGCTTCGATCTCATAAGCTGTAAGTAGCGATGAGCTCAAGACACAATCTAATCACTATGGACGGTGGTAGTAATCGAACTATTCTCAAATCGTCTAGAATATTTCTCTCACGACTCTTGGCATTCATAAAAGCCTGGACGTGAGCTCAAACGTGCCGAAAGTCATGAATATTTGGGAATTTCTCTGTGCTTACATATTGATAACGGGGAATAGGGACCGATGAATTGTTAAGGGACGTAGTTATTGACATATTGATAGGCAACTCTATATAGTAGCCTACACGTAATCCGACACACGTCAATCTTATCTGCCGACCGTATCAGATTATTGATATTTGCCACTCTCGAGGCTCTCGGCGAGTTTTCTTCGAAAAGCCTTTCGACCTCGGATAACCGTTCGAGACGACGACTCAAATTTTGGTTCGATCGAATCGTTCGACGACACTCCGCGAAATTCGAACGGCTGTCGCTGTAGAGCTGCAAACGGAGGTCCGCGATTTTCACTCGCTTGAGCGAGCATCCGAGACCACACCGAGACCCGTAGCGTTTCTTCTCACAATGAGCGGCCATTTGATATTGTCATTGTCTCGTTTGCAGACAATAGAACGTACCACTTTCAAGCGGAGGACGAGGCGGACCAGCGCGCGTGGATGTCGGTCCTGGTGAATTGCAAAGAACGCGCCTTGTTGCGTGCCTTCGACGCGAGCGGCAAGGCGGAGGCCGGCAGCGGCAATCCCAGCCTCGTGGAGTTGCAGCAGGCCGTCATACGATGCGTGATGCGGTTACCCGGAAACGATCAGTGCTGCGATTGCTCCTCGCAAAACGGTAACTGGCCACTGTGAACTATCGTACGGATCGGCGGTAGCCTCTTTCTTTTTAGCGCACCTGCCACGTATGTCTGTCATCACTTTAGAGCGGTTTCACGATCAAACTAACGCGTTAATGTTATGAAACAAATTTCGTAAATAACCTTTTATTTAAAAAGGTACAAAACAACGGTCCACTTTTGTTCGTTAAATCACTTCAATTGATTTATGTGAACTGATCAACTGAATCGTTTTTATACGACGAACATTTATTTAGTTTTTATACAGAGCGAACTCACCGATGAGCTTACAGGATGGATTCTACATGAGAAAATAAATAAAAAGGTCTTAGTAAATATATGTTCTCAATCGTTTAGTTTCTGCGATATAGTTGCCGCAGTCTCAGTTAAACAAATATATATATATTCTTTACTTACTTTTCAATATCAGAACCCGTCCTGTAAGTTTATCGATAGAGTTCAGATACATCCTGCGTATAAATTTTCTTTGTGAAGAAAATCTTTTAATATGTCAGAGCGCGGCCGCGATCGTCGCCCTCGTTTTCGAGCACGACACGATATCTATCTATTAAATTACACTCTTATATATAGAATTGAAGCGCCCACTGCGCGGCAGGGCGCCTCGTGCCATCGAGAGTGGCATGAATGTGTTCTCCGGTTCGCTGGCCGGCCTTTGTCGCGGGCGTTTCCGCACGACGGCCGGACAAAGTGCGACTGCGAGCTCGTGCGCGCTCCAGTTATCACGCGGCCGTTTTTGTACGAAGGGCGATTGTGTTACCTTTTCAGACGCCACGTGGTTGTCCACGAACTTCGGGATAATAGTGTGCATTGAGTGCAGCGGCATCCACCGCGACTTGGGCGTGCATATATCGCGAATACAGTCTCTTACGCTGGACAACGTGGGCACCGCTCAGCTGTTGCTGGCACGACACATGACCAATCAGGCGTTTAACGAGGTGATGGAGGCGACGTTACGTCACAATCTCAAGCCGTCGCCGACGTCGACAATGTGAGCGAACACGTTACGCGCGCGCCGCTAAAAATGCACGTTTAGCGATGCGCGCAACTTTGATTGCCCCCCCCCCCCCCTCGCTGTTTTCTCACGCCGTAATCTCTCTNGTTTTCTCACGCCGTAATCTCTCTCTCTCTTTTTTGCGCGTTTTTTTTAAGGGAGGAGAGGTATGAGTTCATACGTGCCAAGTACGTGGAAAAGAGATACGTGATGAATACGTGCGCGGACGAGCGTGATCTACTTTCCGATTTGGAGCACGCCGTTAACAACCGCGATCTGCAGCAACTTCTCCAGGTCTATGCCGAGAACGTGGATCTGGCGGCGCCGTTGCCGACATCGGTACGTTACATGATGCGATATATATTTTCGTAAAATCATACTTGTAACTTTTTTACAGTTTAGTTTACACAATTTTGCGATTACATTAAATTATTTATCAATTTATTTACATTAATTTATTGGCATTAATTTATTTGTTAATTTATTTATTGATTTATCTGCCAATTTACTTACTAATTTATTTATTAATTTATTTGCTAATTTGCTAATTTATTTTACCAATTTATTTGCATTAGTTTATTTGCACATAACCCTGTGTCGCAAACATCACAAAGGCCTGCGCCTGTTTCAGGACGTGGGCGAGACCGCGTTACACTTGGCCATCCTGCGCGAGATGGGTAGTAGTCTGCACATCGTGGACTTCCTGGTGCAAAACATGCCAACCGGCGGCATCGACCGGACGACCATCGACGGCGAGACCGCGCTGCATCTGTCCGCGCGCCACGATCGGGCGGAGGCGATGAAGCTGCTGCTGCGAGCGGGCGCGGACCCGTCGCATCGAAACAAGCAGGATAAAACTCCGTTGGATATCGCGCAGGAGATGGGACATCACACGTGCAAGGAATTGGTAATGAAACACGACCTGCAGGTCTACTTTGTAACTTTTAACGACAGTATCATTATCATTTCCGCTGGTTTTCTGTCACATATTATACCGCACGAGACAACATAACGATAACGCTGCCGTTGCAGAATAGACGAAACTGCTTTTTTTATTCCGTTCAGATTTCGCCTGTTTTTATTTATTACTTAATTTTTATTACCTATTATTTTTCATTGTTTATTTGTTTATTTATTGATTTTGTTACTTTTGTTATTACTATTTTTATTTATTATTATTATTTTCGTCTTTGTTTTGATTACTTTACATTATTATCCTCTGATCATGCACGCTTGTTCCTATTCTTGACAAACGAATTGCTTCCAGCTTAGTCATGCTCTGCAGAGGCAGAAGACATTATTCGACAACGTGAACATCGACTGGAACCTGTCCCACGACGAGGGTTCCACGGACTTCTCCGACGATGAGACGATAATAGAGGACAGAGTAAGTGGACCGAGATTCCCTAACACGAAAATCACCTCGGAGGCAAACGGACCCGTGTATTCACATGCGCGCATATCGATCTCGCAGAACGGATGTCTAACGCCAGAGAAGAAGTCACGCAGCAGACCTCCGTCTTACGCCGGAGGCGGTGGCACGGGATCTGGCGATTCGCCGGTGACGCTGCGTAGTCGGAGCAGCACCTGTGACAGCCTACAGAGCGGATCCTCTCCGAGCGCCTCGACGAATCGCCAACAAATGCCTCCGCCGCCGCCGCCGCAGGCGAGGAAACCCGTAGCTGGTAAGTCGTTCGTTCACATTTACGCTGAAAGAACCTTGCCCATTTTCCTGTGGATTCTGATCCCAGCTCTTGCGAGTAGTAACGAGACTTGGTTAAAACGAAGGATTATTAATAGAGGATCAAAATGTTTCATAGATACAATCCTCTAATGCCCGATCTCGTCAACGTCAATTATAGCTTAACCTAAGTTTAAGTCGCTGTCTGAAGAGAGTTTAAACTCAGGTTTAAACTTAGGTTAGGGGTCGTTCGATAATTACGTCACACCACGAGGGGGTAGGGGGAAACCATTAGCTTGCGTGACGGCCTGCGCCGACAGGGAGGGGAGAGTAAAGGCCATGGAACGTCACAGATGGCATAACTTGTAAATATGGATGCGGCGTGGTTATCTACTTTGCATTCATGGCACGTTTGGTTATATTTGGTGGGGATTGTTAAATTTCGACATGGTTTCGTGTTAATAATCAAAGTGTCAATTGTTAAATGTTTATTCCTTTAAAAACACAATTTTTTTTACTACTCAAAATTATAAAATAATTAATTCGATAGTATGTGTCTAAAAATTACTTGTACCTCAGAAAAAGACAGTAGCGTGCAGTCTAGTAATTATCACCCATAATTATTATTATAAGTTCTTTTTTATTCTATATGTCTGCGAGAGGAGATAAAAATACCCAATTTAGCGTGACGTAATTGTCGAATGACCCCGAAAAGGCCCCCCTTACGTCCGATATTCCACGAAAAGCATCCGAGGAATGATGCGTCTTATCTTGAGTTTCGCGCCGTCAAGCAGCGTCGTTTTAATCACGCCGATCTTGCCGCTTCGCAGTACCCACCCCGATGGCGCCGGATATTTCAGTGAACATCCACGGTTCGCTGAAGAAACGAGTAGCGCCGCCGCCGCCGCCCGCCGGGAACGCCAGCGGTGGCATTCTACCGTCGTCGCACTACGGTACGCTACCCACGTCGGCCACGTTGGCTACGTCGACGCACAGTCGTACGACCAGCGAACCGATTTTAGCCGGCCACACTTTACACACTCTACCGCATACGTTGAACACACTAAATAGCCAACATCATAAGAGATCACCGAGCGGCGACTCGTCGACCGGACACGGTACATTCGATAAACGAAGAATCTCGCTGGCGTCGCCGGCTGGAGAGCGACACTCACGCCTGTCTCTCTTTCTTCCTCTGACGTACAGGTATGGACAAGGCGAACAGCTCGACGCTGCAGAGACCGCGGAATCCGCCGCCCCCCGCTCCGTCCGTCACGTCCAGGCTCAGCAACGGGCGCAGCAGCGAGTCGCTGAGTTCCATGTGCTCCGATCATGGTCTGGGCAATCCCATCCCGCCGCCGCGCAAGGTAAGGCATACAACGGTGCGAGTATTGTCTCGACAACGGTCTCGAGGTTCCATGAAAACCGACACGCGGATCTCTTCCAAGCTTTCGCACACAATGGTCGTAACTGTGAACATAAGACGTAACTTTGAGTCGAAGATCAATCAGGATAGTGCTTTTAATATACTCCAAAAGAAGAGGAAGGAGGTGACCGTGTAACTACGATTCAGATCGAGTAACTAGGATTTCGACCAGCCGAATCCTCGTTCTCCTGGCGATCATATTTACCGTCAATTCTGCCTTTCTCGAATTTTTAACAAAAAGCGTTCTCAACGTTACCACACGTCACAGTTCCTTAGATTCAGGCGATATCTTATGACTTTGGCAGCGCGGACGACGCCTTTTGTCGGGAATTATGTTACATTCTATTGTTTAGAACGGAAGACTAAAGGCTTACTGTATCTATTACAGATACAGACTCAGAGTACGCAAACCTAAAACAACATCCTGATGGATTCTTCAGCTTAAGGGTACGTCTTACGTTCACAGTCGCGGCAATTTGGAAAATTACAGTTTCACTCTACATTCTCTTCAGAGCGTCCAGATGTAACTTATCGGCGGTACATAGAACTCGCGAAGCTCTGGGTCAATTTATTGTTTATTAGGATAGGACCCGTCCAGGTGGTCTAAAAGGAAGCCCGAAGCCTTTGAGGATCACACAATTGTCCTTCTGCCTCACCTGTTCTTTTCTTTTTCTTTTTCTCGCACATGTACACATTTGGTCACGGATTCGGTTCAGTCCAAGTTCGTATTAACAGTAGGGGAGAGGAGGTGTAACTAACAGATTGTGCCGTTACTTTTTCCTCCGTAGTGTAGCACCCACTCGGTTCATTCGTGTACGGGCTTGAGCATTTTGCGTATTTACATTTACTAACCGTGTACCACGCACACCACCAACCTGTCACCACTCGTTTACCCTTCCCGATGTCCACACCAAGACACACCGTTATCGTTGTATCTTCCGATCCTTATCTGCATTAATCTCTCACCGACATGTAACTGTAGAACCACAACATGACTTATCATCGTCATATCGCGCATCGTTCGAGTCATTTTTTCACTCATCTCACGTCGCGAGTCGCACACAGTCGCTCGTCTTAAGGAGATTGTAAGGCTCAGTGCCGTGTTTCCAGCGGCGCATCAAGGGACCCTCTCATAAATTTTGTATTTATCGAGCAAAACTACGCTTCTGTGCTTGTATTTTATTATCTAAATAATAAATGTTAATTTGAAGCAAAATTGAGATAAACATATATAAATAAACATAGATAGACAAACATAATATATATATATTTTTTTTTTGTTTTTCTTATTAATACTATATTTATGCATCAGTTGATCTGAATAAAGATGTACAAGTTATAGAAAAGAGTATATAAATATTTAAATATGTACGTATGTACATGTATTATTATAAATTATAAACTTGACACTGCTATATCTTCAAGACAAAATAGTCAATAATTCTGAAATTTGTGTACAATATTCGCATATTAATCTTTAATATCATAGTAATTTCTCTTCACAATCTTATATTTTTAGTTTGCACTAAAAATAGAAATTAATAAAAAATAGCGCGCTAATCTCAAGGAACACGTATATAAAAAACATCAACTTTAATTTCAAATATCTTAGCTCTTAAACGGTTGATACTTCAACGTATACGTAGTGCAAGTTTCGCTGAATTTTTATCGAGCTCATTTCGCCTTACAATCCTCTTAATCTCGTAGCAAAACTTCCTGGAAGAGAAGGTCCCCAAGATAACGTCGGGGGAGCGCTAATGTGACACGTAACGATCGATCGAATTCGCACAATGAGCGTCGCGTCGTATCTTGGAAGAGCGTTTCGACGAGCCGAGGTACTTTCGATACGGAAGGGAATCGATATCGGGCACATGTGCGCGATGATGATAGATTAAATATCGGATTAGGTATTTATTAATTTTTAATTAATCACACACAATTCGGACAATTCTTCCGGTTCCCGTCTCCGAATGAGACACGTGGGGCAACAGTCCCGACCGCGCGCGTTTACCTCCGGTGTGGATATGTAGAAAAATGCATGCATCTCAAGATCAGTGCTTTATGGTTTGTTATTAACCATTGTTGGTACAGCGAAGGGACCGGTCCAGGCTAGAGAGCTACGCCGAGGAGCCTTCATCTTTGCTCCCAAATCTGAATCTGGTAAACATCAGCCATCCCACATTACGGCATGTTACACTTGAAACCGCTTCTTACGAATAAGTATACCTACAATGTGTCTCTTTCTATCATTCTTGTGCAAATCTCGTGTTATTTGACGCGCATTTAACGTGAAGTAATTAGCCGTGTCTTCGACTTGTTGTCGTTGGTAATCGGGATTCAAGGCGATTGTGAGACGATGTGATCCCTGCGGGGAGAGAACGTCGCGCAATCGTCGCGACATTTGACGGGAACTCGAGACCGACGACCGTCGCCGATGGAGCTTACCTCTGTCTGTCTGTCTGTCTTAACCTGTATCGACGATACTTTCAAGTGTAGCAGTGCTTTTGCATGATCAGTCGTGCTGTTCGTATCATCGTCTGTGCTACTCACCCCGTCGAGGCTTCAAGTTAATTAACATTGTTATTATTGTTTCTGCGTTATCGCCGAGAACGGTCGTTCCTTTCTCGTATTTAACATTGAGCTCGTCTCTGATCAACCGACATAGACGAGAACACGAATCTCTCTCCGAGACAAGTCGTTCCGTGGTATAACTCGGATGTAACTCGCTGTTGGCGACATGAAATGTTTTGCGTTGCGTGTGAAAATCTAACATCTACATTACGACATCGATCGTTCTGTCCGAGTCATTAATCGGTATGGTTTTTCTCTCATTGTCATTTGATGTTTCTTTTTTCTCATTCTGCTCCTTCAACGAGTTACATATCTACCGTTGTGAATCACACGTTCTAACTATTTATAACCGAGACCTGTGTAATGTAAATACTTTGTAAATACCGATTGTGTCGCATGGGTTTCCGGAATGGATTTATTATGTTTGGCCGATACTCGATCGCATCCGGTATTGCGCTACATACTTCCTCCGACTTCCGTGATATCACTACTAGCCCCTTGTAAAATCCCCCCCCCCCCCCCNAAACAATTCGCGTAACTAGCATGACGTATCTCGGTGTTTCGGAACTGGAAATTCTAGTTTAGGGATGCATATCGAGACACGCTCGATCAATATCCATCCAAGTATACTGGATGTTTTTCTAGCCCCTTCCGTCAGCATTAATCAATACTTACCGCCTTTCTAGCTTTGTTCTCCCGAAGGAAAAAAAGAAATCAATAGATCTTAAGGCCCCTGTGTCCTCGCCGCGACCATCTTGTTTTATGATGTCAGAAGTGAGGAAGTCCATGCTCAGAATTCTCACCTTCAAGTAAAAAGATATACTCACAAAATGACGTTTGTGATCGATTCCTACTTGTGAGATACTTCCAGCGTTTTCCTTTTGCTCGAACAATCGATAAAAAATAACGTGACAAAAAAATCATAGAAAAAGATAAGTTAAAAAGGAAAATTGTACGTCATACTTGATTTTTCGGCTATTTGTTGATTGTTAGAGCAAGAAGAAAGTTTTCGGAGTACTTCACAAGTGCGATTCGATCGCAAGTATCATTTTATGGATGTATATTTTTATTTAAACGTATGTCTCGCGAGAATTTTGAACGGGGAAAAACTTCGTACAGTTGAAAACTAGCCACAGGTAAAGATTAGCTGTCGACATAATACAACTGAAATTCAACTAATTCGACTAATATTTTGCCCCTCTATCTAATTTTTAGCTCCTACGGCTAAAAACTAAATTCCCGTTGCGTTATATGGACAGCTAATTCCTCTTTTCCGTGTCGGCGTGTTCTCGTCGTTCCCGTCTGACGTCATCGAACAAGACGACTACAGGGAGAGACCGGAAGCCTTGATCGTCGGTCAATCAATCATTCGATTAATCCACAATGCGACGAAACCGAGACTCCGATCGGAATCGCGAGCGTCACTCGCCGTTGAGAATACTTTCAGTGTCAATTCAGTATCAAATCTCCCTAGAATTTCCAACGTCCTCGCTCGTAAACTCCCGAGGACGGTGTACTCTTGCGCTTGTCACCCGATGGCGAAGGGTACGAGCGACAGGAGGCGCTTGCTTCCGCCAACTGACCGAAACACGCGCTCTCTCTCTCTCTTATACAGTTTATTCTGCCTCGGACGTTCCCGTTCTCTGCTAACACCTTCCTCTTGTCCTCGCACGCACAGCCGACGTCGTCGACTTTGAGCGGCCTCCGACGATGCCGGGCGTTGTACGACTGCGAGGCCGACAACGAGGACGAGCTGTCATTTCGCGAAGGCGAGGTGATCATCGTGACGAACGAGCAGACCGACGACGACAACTGGATGGAGGGTGCGCTGGAACGGGCGCCGGAGAGGCGGGGCATGTTCCCGATCAGCTTCGTGCACATGCTGCAGGATTAACATTCGGTAAGCCTGAACTCGTTGGCGAGCGTCTCTAGCACTGCCAGCTCGATGAGCGTCGCCAGTCTCGGCCGACGAAGCTGGCTGAGGAAGCCGAAGGAGTGATGATGAGGAGGAGCAGCATTACGGAAATTATGCTCGGACGCTGATCTCCGCCACCTTCCGTCATCGTCGTCCAGGCTGAGGCGGCATCCACGCAAGAGTCCGAATAGAGAGAACGTCGATGAGCGCCGTCACCAAGTGAAGGTTGTCGGGAGCTTCTCTCTTTGTTCCTCGTGTTTCTTAGGGGAGAAATAAACGATATACACGCCAATGTAAGAGGAAGTGAGAGTAGCGCCCCAGTAGGGGCGGTCCTTAACAAGATTTAGCGATCTAGCGGAACGGTAGTAGTTCAAACTGACGTCACTCGCATTCTCATTCCGCTCGGCGATTTCTCATTAACACATTCTTCGCTACCAACGTCATACACAGCCATGGACAACCGGCGGTATGTGTGTCGTACCATTCCCTGGATAGATAATCGCACGATTTACGCATATGTATACAAGGTCAAAATCATTAACTAGGGTCGTTATAACCGTATCGTTATAGTTAGAATTATATGCGCGATTTTCAATCTTGTGGGTTATGCATAAGGCTAGGAAAAGCGGAAAATCATGTAGGGGATGATACAATGTGCACATTACGTCGTCATGTATGCCTTACCATTTTCTGGATCCAGAGTTTGTGATTTTTAGCCGTGCAGGTATATGCGTTGAAAATCGCGCGAGTAACTCGAATTCTAATGGTTGGTTATTGGCTCTACTTAGAGAGGTCTCGACTTTATGCATATACGTGTAGGCTAAAAATCGTACAACTTTCGATCTAGGGAGTGGTAAGACGCCGACTGGAAACGATTCGTCTTCCATTAGATCTAGTGGAGCAGCCCGAAGGTGCTTATCCTGTTCTATTCAAAGGAATCATCGCGTAAAGCTCGTATCAGGCTAATATTAGATTAAAAATTGCGAATTAGAAATCAGAATTCGATGAGAGCAGTTTCGATCTTGACTCACCTTACCCCGAATGGACAAATTCCAATAGTCCGATACGGTCTTTGCGTGAATATTCTTCTAGTTCGAACAAAATAGACATCTTTCGAACTGGCCCCAAACGAATCAATGTCCATGGGTGTACGCGTGACACACCCGCGATCTCTCGCTTCGAACTCACCTCTCACGGGAAATCTTCGATTCCACCTAACACATTCGCCATCGACACGTCACACGTGAATGACAATGATAATTTTTCTTTTTATATCCGCATATATATATATATATATATATATATATATATATATATATAAACTAAGTCTGTTTTACATAAAGACAAATAAAATGTGGGCAGAAAGTTCCATGAAGAATAAAGCACGATAGCGAACGTGTCAATGTAAAACGAGTCGCGTTATAGGCGAGAGTCTCGTAGCTTGTTGACTATTTTCTAGACACCCGAAGGCTTTTTCCCTCTACCGCGGCAGAGAGTTGTTCCTGCTGATGCGACGGTGTCTCTTGCGTCTTTCGCTGATTCGCGAACGATCCCTCCAGGTCGACACCTTGCAATAGATTTTTCCCAACGGAGATTCCGACTTCCTCCGTGGTGCGCGATGCGAACACGATTATTCCCGTGTTTCCAATGTTCCGGAAAGAGTTGAGAGAAATGACACCTCGGCTCGAAGTCGGCGGACACCTCGAAGATTTCGCGCTAAGGCCGGACAACCCGACACGTACGATCTCGAGCGGTAATGTCGATGTTGAGACCGGTGTGCGTCTGCTCGGCCGTGGAATCTGTCTTCATAAATCGAGAAATTCGCTCTCTCGCTCGCGCGCTCGATAATAACGCGGTTATTTGACGACTTCTTTTCGCGAAATTTCATTTTCCCCGCGAGCGAACACATCGCGGACAGCATTGAGACGTTTCGATTACGTGTACATACAGTCGGCGGATTAAAGGTTGCGACACTTCTCTTTTTCTCCACGAGTCTCGTAACGCATCCCACGTATCCAATAGGAGAATTTATTTCTGAGTAATTCTTACAGGAGATACGTTTTCCTGCTGGATGCGAAATACGTTGCGGAACTCATCGAAAAAAAAAAAAGGTTCCGTAACTTTCGACATTAGAACCGCTACAGGTGCTAATTCGGTTCCTATTTTTTATTTTCAGTTACTGTAGAGTCTTTTTTTTATGTCATCTGCATTATTTGAAATTATATTCGCATTTAAAATAATAAAAAGTCAAGGGAAATTATTAACCGACACGACAATTTATAGGATTTACGGCAATTTTCAAGATCAGCGAAGCCAAAGAGGAGCACCATCGACGGTTTTAACGTTAATCTGCCGACTGCGCCGCTCAGTGACGATGTCTTTGATAGAGCCAGGTATTAGCACTTTACGCTAGATGACAATCATATCGAGGCCCGCGTGAGGAAAAGCGGATGTTACGTTTGATGTATGATGTACATTCTCGGGGGGATCTTTCGTCTCCGGACGAACGCGACCGGCGGATTCTTGTCTCTACGTGAGAGACCCTCGGTCGGCGAGAACGCGAGCAAGAGGAAGCTGACTGACCGCCGCTTGTGTGTGTGTGTGTGTGTGTGTGTGTGTGTGTGTGTGTGTGTGTGTGTGTGTGTGTGTGTGCGTGTGTGTGCGCGTGAGCGAGCATGTGGCAGATCATCCGCGGGTTCTCGGTGTTTGTCGCGCGAAATGTTGTGTCTAAAGAGTTTATATGATAGATCTTTTACGTAGTCAGCAGACGTACTCGTCTACTAATACGCTCTATAACAGATATGTACACATATATATATATATATAAATATATTACGATACACAAAGTGTGTAATTTAGATACAAATTAGAGATATATCCGGCTGACAAAGTACGACGTACACACGACGTCGGATCGCTGACGACGTCGGTAAAGAAAAAAAAAGGCAACAACAACAACAAAGAGGAACTGAAAAAAGAAACACGTCGCGCGCTGCAGCGGACTGGGGACACGTTAAAAAACGGAATGTATAAAAGAGGAGGAGGGAGGAAGCGATCCTCTCGGCTGCGCGGAACCGACGCTAAAATGTGATACATAATATTTCAGAGTAAACTGTTAGTACTGCGAGACGGGGATACACGTGCGCGCGTGTCAGCGAGTCGAACGGCGTTTCCCGAAGTCTCGTAAGTCGACCGACCGATTTCAATCGTGTCGAGCGCGCCCGCATTCGATTGGCACGACGGTGAACCGTCGCGTCGACACGAGAGTCTCTCTGCTGACAGGGGAAATTCCAACGCGGATATTTAAACGATGGGGATAACCGCGTTGCTAGTTGAACGTAATTGTAATCCGAATGGAATTCGCGATTCGAAAACGAGATTCGATTACCGGTTGCGAGGAGAGGAAGGGGAAAGGGATCTCGGTATCGATGTACCGCTCGTTTGAGGAATACCTCACTCTCTCACGATGTATTTCGACCGACAATTGTGCCCGAAGAAGCGAGCGAGCGAGCGAGTGAGAGATAGAGAGAGAGAGAGAGAGAGAGAGAGAAACAAACATGTAACACGGTTCACATGGTTTCGGTGTCTCTCAACGTTCATACACGGAAAAAAGTCTAGTTGCGTTAACCGGAAAGGAAATAGATGCGTTCTGATTGAAGGGAATGGAATTTCTAGTTCTCATAACCCAAATGTGGTTCTCCTAACCATAAATTCCGTTTCCTTCAATCAAAACGCATCTAGTCGTTCCCTTTCTGATTGATGTAACTAAACTTCTTTCCGTGTACGTTCTATTGATCTGGCGCACAATTCTTTTTTCTGTACTGCCATTAAAGGATCGATTTAACGTAGGGATAGCGGCCGAACTTGTTGCAGTAGTCATAGGGAACCGTGGTAACTCGCGTACCTCTGCGTTCGGCGCCGAGGGCGTCCGATCTCCTCCGCAGCCCGGCGGAGCACCCTTGAGACACGTACATAATTGTGAACACCGTTATACGCGAGACAATTCATCCGAGAACCGCGTTCGGCGCCGAACTCAAGCGGTACGAGTTCCGATACGGATCGTAGTTTCGCGGGAGATCTGCTGAATCTAGCGTAAAAACTAGTAGAAGAGGAGGCGAGAGAGAGAGAGAGAGAGAGAGAGAGAGAGAGAGAGAGTTTAATCAACGGTCGTCTCTCACATACCAGATGTTATACAACCGATAATGCATGACACTCGATAGTATTATTAGCGTACTCGATTTAAGAACATCGTTACGACTGTGTGTACATTTTTTTGTAATGCCATACTACAAAGTGTTAGTCGCTCTTCGAGTAAAGGGAGTATATCAGTAGGAGGGAGGAGAGGGGGGAGCTCGGAAACCGAACGGCCGTCGGCGAGACGGGAGTGTAGTGCGACGAGCGAGAGGAGTCTCTTACTGTCGCAATATATTAAATATTCTATTCGAATGTACACCAAAGAGGATGAAAAGGTGGAAAAGGAAAGGGAGTAGTCGAGAACGGTGCGCGTAGCCGTTTCCTATCATAACGCCGCAACGTCGCAAGCCTTGTTACATAATAACCCGTGTTCTGAACTCTCTTTTACCGATAAAATTGCCTTAAATATGACTTCTCAGCCAATCAAACGGCTTCTTCACATAAGTAAGCCATATAATATAAATATGCTATATAATAAATGAATCACTTTTAGAGGCATTTTTATCGATAAATGAAAGTTCAGAGTACGATCTGATAAGTCGTATTTGTCGAAGTCGGATATCGGAACGCAGCCGGCGTTGATGAGGAGAACTCGTTTCCGAAGAATAAATGGCGTTTTCGATTTGTTGACCCGACCTGATTCGACCTGACAGGCTTAAGAGAATTTATTTCTCGAAAACGAGTTCTCTTATTGGACCATCGGCCATGTTCCAATGTTCGAGATATGACTTAATGGCCGCGTTCAGCAGAATTATTTTGCAACTGGTGGACATTTTCTGAATTAAGATTAGGTTTTTCTTTCAGGTTTAGAAGAGTAATGCAATCTCAGCAGAGAGAATTTCTAACAGTTTTTCCAACAGTTGTAAGATAAACGTTCTGAGCACGGCCATTGCGTTACAAGACCTGGACGAGCTTTGAATTGGAAACAGCGGTACCTATTAAATGCCGTGTAATTATCGTCAGTGTGCTGACCGATGGGAAACGGCTTCGCGAATCGGCCCACGATTTCGTGCAACACGTTAGTCCGATCGGGAAATAGGATCGGCGTGCGTTTCTCTCGTGTAATGTAGATTGCATATGCGGATCGCGCGATCGACTCTGGGAGACGGCACGGGTGATGTCGCGGAAGCACTATAATTCTTTCCTTACGATTACCATAGGGGGCTTTGTACATAGACGGACGAAAGTAGAATACATACTTAAACCGCTGTAACGCTATTAGCTGTGACATTATTTCAATAAGTGTAAACTTAAAAATCGATTTACAGGCGTGTCGCGACGCTTTTACCTCCTTCAGCCCAAAAAGGAAGAATTGAAAGAAACGTAGCTACGAGACGATTTCGAACAGCAGAGAATATTTTCCGGTTTCATTCGTTAGAGATAAAGATATCTAAATCACGTTATTTATATATGTAGATCCATATATATATTATATATATATATAGAGAGAGAGAGAGAGAGAGAGATATATATACATACATACATACATACATATATATATACATACATATATACACACGTACACACACACACACACACACACACACATTTGCAGGAAGCTGAATGTCGCGTTTTATTTCCCGACGACACCGTTTAGCGTTTCCCACACTCTTCTCCGCCATTTTCTAGCACTTCTGCAGCAGTTTAACGAAGCGGGTGAAAAGCGAAACACCAATAAGCATCCGTCATAAGTCGTCTCGCGTCACGCCACGTTCAAGCGAAGACGTAAAAAAAAAAAACTGTTCACTTTGTTCAGTCGTCGATTTGACGACGATTTTCGCAGATATCTCTTCGAAGCGCAGCAAACAGGGGCGATAAGCGCGACTGAGACGCGCTTTTGCCTTTCGGCGCTGACGAAACCGGTTCGTCCAATTGACGAATACGTGCTGCGTTAGAGTCTTAGCGAGTTGGGATTTCGAGATTTTCCCGAGGATAATCCAAGAACACTGGTATTATCGTGATTTTGTAAGGAAAAATATCTTCAATGTACGTAGCAGCGAGTGTAGCGCGACGTCTCCTTTTCTTTCACAGACACTCACTCTCACGCAAATATATCAAAAGGAAGATAGCAATTGTAACTTCAATAATGTCAGGCGTCTGTAATCAAAAGGAAACGTTACCTACTTAATATTAAGTACAGTCTTTCGTTCACGCTCGGTCTTCGCAAGTTCCATGTCGAACGCGCACAAACGATTCAACGGTGTCGCTTTTTTTTTAATTTACACTCGAAACGTGTCGTCGATCTATGTAAATATATGTATAGGTGAGAAAAGAAAGGAAGTAGAATAACTGTGGTGTGCGTATGTTGTGTGCGTGTGCGCGCGTGAGGAGAGAGAGAGGGATAAATCAATGTTTATATTGCTATATCGAACGTACATCTATTAAAATTACGGTTTAAGCTTAAGTATGTGGATAATGTCTATTTAACGGTTTAAGCGATTGATTCTTTGCATTTCAAACTTAAGAGAGTAGACGTTAGGATAGTCTGTAAGTATTTATTATTATTTTGTAGCTACTTCCCGGAGAACACTATGAGACGTCCTATGTTCCGATTGCGACGTCTTCGGTACATCTTAAGTGAGATGTCTCACAAACATCTTAAGTAAGATTGTTTCCAGAACAAAAAAAAGAATGCTGCGAGGAAAAATAAAAACGATATTAAAATTATGATACTTGCATTTATTTGAATTGCACCTCGAAGCCTATCTTGCGCGAGAAGTTACTGTTTTCCGGCAGGTGTTTTTTTTATAATCCAACATCGGGTTAGAGACTTCCAGTTTTCCATAAACGAAAGTCTAATCGATAAGTCTGATCGATTAGTTGTTGAATCTTTATATTGAGAAATGATGGTTCTTCTGCCTCGTTGGGTTGTATTACTTGTTGGTTGAGCACTTCTGGCTTGTCATTGAGTGATGTTATGACCACGACTTTAAAACTGAAGGCTTATTTACAATGTTGCTGGCAGCTATGAAGTGCGTTCAATTTTCGTCTTCAATTTCTAGCAATTGGATTGGCCATGCTCGTTGAAACTGGAAATGGACCGAACTGGATCCGAGTGATCGCGACTACACGATCTTGTGGCCGCGCTTTAGACGAAACTTAAACGTTTAGTTCCCAAGCCTCCGCTATGAGTCGCCACGGTACTTAACTTAAAATTTGATGTAGTACAATTCAATGCACCTCAGAATTATTTCGTCAATGAAATAATACGAACCAACGGCAAGCCAGAAGACTTAATCTTCAAGCAATACATCAGAACAATAATTAGATTATTTATCACATATTAATTCATAAATTAATTTATGTATATAATACCTTATATTTATTTTTATACATATATATTTCTCTTAAGTATATATATTTATACACGTGGTTGTATTAATTAATATTTCAATCAGTTAACTATCTCACTTGGAACAATTTATTATTTACCCGAACATTTACCTATGTGTAAAATTAAAAACATATATTTAAAAATAATTTAAGTAAGAAAAACCTCGTCGGAGATCAAACGTAAACCTTCTTCCGTACGAACCAAAGATTTTATTATCTATGTTAACCAACATCGTTAAAAACAAATGTTCCAAACTTGTGTATAAAGTATACTAAATATCTCAAATATTTAAATTTTCAACAAATCACTCAAACTTGGATCAATTGTTTTCCAATATAGATTTATCTCTAAATTATATTAATAATACGTAAAGTTTCATCAATGACTATCGATTTATTATCCAATATAAATAAATATATAAGTAAAATAAATTTAAAAACGGGGGGGGGGAGGGCGCACACAGATATAGGACACAGTTGCACGGATATTACATGCGTATGAAAAATTTTTTATTTGAAAATGTCCCTTTTTCACGCTACAACATCAGTTTACCCTCGTCTATTCAACTTTTTTTTTAACAGTACAAAAATTGTATTTTTACATGTTGCGCAGCTTACGTAGCTAAGGTATTTAGTAATCCGACAATTCAAAAGATTTTTCTTCTTACAGTTTATCTAATGTTGTCCGGAAAAGCTGCGGCAAAACGTGAACACTACACGCCGGCGAGGGCGTGAATCCCCGCGTACGAAAACAAAAAGGGGGAGGGGAATTAAGAGAAAAGCGTTCGTATGACGCGTTTCTTAAAACAAAATCAGTACTACGAGTGTTCGGCGGATTTCCACCGATTACAATTCATCGTATTAATCGTCGTCGTCGTCGTCGCGGATCGCCTTCGGCCGAGAACTCGCTTCGTCTTTTCTTATTCTCTGAAACCGAGTTACTAATACCATTACTACTACTACTTCTACTGCGGCAAGCGCAATTTATATCAGACGTACGCAAGTTATCGTCTTTCGTTCTCGCGACTTCTCCTACTTTCACACAATCACAAGACTAAAGCTTCCTTGTTACGCTCGATCACAATCGAGCGGTCGATGCACCACTCGTGGAATGCAAGTATCCGGCCAAAGTTTATCACGCGTATTTCCCTCCCTCTCCCTCCTTCCCTCTCCTTCCCTCTATCTCTCACCCTCCTTCTCTCTCTTTCTCTCGCTATACATTCTCATTTCCACTACCTCCATATGTCCTGCGCTCGACGAACGGACAAGAGATCACGACAAGCGCACGCGCGCATACGACGAATGTGACATATTTTATCGTCGAATTACCAGAACTCGAGGACCCTGGAAAAAGCTAGGAAAAGCTCGGTGTCACAGACAAATATAGCAAACGTCAATAAAATGTCAATGCGTATGCACGTGTGTGAACGCGATCGCCGCGGCCTTGGGGATGCGCAAGGAGGGGGCACTTTCCGCTTGCGTATTAATTGTACAACCAGCAGCTATCGATATCATCGGATCGTAGATTTTCGTTTAATTAATACGCAAGCGTCAATTACAAACAAGGTCATCGTTTCCAACACGTGAGTCTCATCGTCAACGACGAGGGCGAAAAAAGACATTCTCTCTTTCTCGTGTTCCCATAGTCTGTAATCGTTCATGAGACCGGGAGCATACGAGAAAACTTAAGCAATTAGCAAATTGACCAATCACAATCGATATCCTCCTTATTTAGGTTTAAAAATAATCGATTGTAGTAAGTAAATTCCCTTAATCCCCGGCACTATAAGAGATGTTTTAAGCCTTGAACAAGTGGACCAATCACAGTCAACTGTAATTAGTCGCTTCCTCGAAGCTCGAAAGGCTAAAAACACCTTCCGTAGAATCGCTATTACCGCTCAAGTTTTCCCATGTTTTTCCGGCTTAAATGCTATCACTACGCGCGAGATGCATCCCGCGCGCGCACGCGCGCGCGATGATGTCTTAGCATTCTACGCATTCGTCTCGGGGAGAAAGAGAGAGTGTGAGTGAGTCACATGATGCGACCGAGATTAGAGACGCATGTGAAAATCCTCAAAGACTGCTCGTATGCGAGATCAAGATTTCATCCCAGCATAAAATTACCGTATACTACTTCACACTCTTAAAATCGCTGTATCAAAATCAACTGACAAAGGCAGGACCTGAATTGATGAATGCGTTGAGATTCTGTTAATCGCGGTGAGCGTGTATGAAAAATGATGAATGAGAGAGAGAGAGAGAGAGAGAGAGAGAGAGAGAGAGAGGGGGGGGGGAAGAAACGGAATGAGCAACCATGTGTTGCATGTGATTAATAATCCTGCCAATAATCGCGGACCGCCGCCACCGCCGTTACGTTAATTTTCCCGTTCAATCCATCGTATTATTAAACTATCGTTATTGTTGTTTGTAGTGAGAGAAAACCGCGACTCATGTAACAACTTGTACTCAGCGCTTCATAGAAAGCCACTCGTCATTGCGGAGAGAAAGAGAGACGCGCGCGCCCCTCATGTCGTCGTCGTCATCATCATCGTGATTGTAATTAACGATCGGCAGCGGCAGAGTCGCGAGCGAGATAAGAGACGAACAATTGTGAAGCGTTCAATCGCCGTGCGGGAGAACCCAAGGTGCTCTACATGCGAGGGAAAGAGAGAGAGAGAGAGAGAGAGAGAGAGATCATTAACGCCAGGTTACTAGTCGAGGTGTACTCTCTCTCTCTCTCTTCCCTCTCTCTCTCTCTCTCTATGTAACGCAGTAAAAAATGTCCATGTGTGTACGTGTGTGTGTATGTATACCATGAATGCACTTGTAGACACGTATTCTTTCTTGCGCGCATCTTCGAGATACAAATGAAACGTACGTGTTTGTACAAATCACGCGTGTTACATCGAGAACACGTACATCCGGTACCATATATGTATGTATGTCGTGTATTATGTGTGTGTGTTTGTGTCTGTGTCTGATGTGTACGCAGATTTAATATACAATTAATTAACTATACACGTTACAATTGTTAGAAATAAAAAGTTTGACTAGCTTTTGATTTAAAATTCACTATTACGACTTGCATCGTTCACAATGTATAACCGATCGGGTATATATTCGTTTTTACAGCGTTACTGCTGCTACCTGCCCGTTGATCGAATAACACATATTCTCTCTTGTGTGTACGAAAAGAAATAACAATTAAGTATAATTTCTTCCGCTCCGCTCGCTCACGATCACTAAATGTATATTTATTTATTTATATATTTCCTCTCGCAAATATCAGTAATATATTCCCAGATTGAAGCAGTCACCGAGCTCCACACTTTTTTTTAAATCAGTTTCACGAGTGGAATATAACATTACGGTAATCACGTATCCCTAGTTCTAACTATCCCTAGAAATTTAAAACTATTTTCGTTAGCAACTACTTCTCTCGCTTATTATTATTATTTTCTTTTTTTATCGTTCATTCTCTCATCCTTGCTCGATCATTCTCTCACTCGCTAATTGTTAATATGTCGAGTTTTTCCTCGCACGCAGTCTTCCGATGATTACATTCACGCGCGCACAAGATCCGCGAACGGAAGGACAGTAAAAACATCCGGAGTCTAACGACGGATCGTGGCACGTGAATTGTTCAGTCTTTAGTTATATTTTTTTTTCTTATTTTGCATCAATGCAATCATATATATATATATATATA